TCAAGTAATTAAGTCTAATTTGAAAGTGGCCCAGGATCGGCAGAAGAGCTTAGCAGACAGGCATGCTACTGATCGAGTGTATAAGGTTAATGATTGGGTATTTTTGAAGCTATCGCCGTGGAAAAGAGTAGTAAGGTTCGGGAAAAAGGGTAAGCTGAGCCCTAGGTACATCAGACCTTACCAGATCACCGAGCGAGTTGGTGAGGTTGCTTACAGACTTGAGTTGCCTTCGGAACTATCTAAAGTGCATAACGTATTTCATGTTTCGATGCTTCGTCATTATGTTGCAGATCCATCGCATGTGATTCCAATTCAATCTTTGGAGATTAGCCCGAATTTGACTTATGATGAATAACCAGTAACTATCTTGGATTGGAAAGAGAAAGTTCTGAGAAATAAGACGGTGCAGTTGGTAAAAGTCTTGTGGAGGAACCACTCGGTGGAAGAGGCTACTTGGGAAACAGAGGATCGGATGAGAGAGATGTATCCGAGATTGTTTTATGACTATTAGTGTTGTATTTTGATTATGTAAATTTCGGGGACGAAATTTCTATAAGGAGGGTAGGTTGTGACAGCCCATCCCGAATTAACGTTTTCATAAGTGTGTTTAATTACCCTAATTTTTTTTAGTTGGATAATCATGGATATTTTGGGTAATAATGGACGGATAGGGATGTTTTCGGCGGTATATGTATGAATGATTAAGCTTGGAATCCTATGCCCTCACGGGCTTACAGAAATCATTCCTTTTCCCTTACTTTTCTTTTTCTTTTCTGTGAAACCCTCCACTTTGTTCCCTCAATCACCCTCTCTTTTATTTTCCCTCAGCTCCCTCAAACTCAACTCTCATTCTCTCCCGTCAATTTCTCAAGCTCTCTTTCTCTCCTTCTCTCGAAACCCACGGACTAAACAACAAGTTCATCAAAACTTCATAGATCGACGAAACAATCACCATCTTCTTCGTTTCGACGATACGAGTCCAACCATACCAATTTCAGGTAAGAACTATAACGTTTTCACGTCGAAAATACGAACTCCGGTTTAGGTACTATTCATCAACTTTTTATTGGTTGATTTTTAGGACTTTTCAAGCTTATAGGAAGCTTCTTGAGGTCCTTAGGAGGCTTGGAGTAGTTCGTTGGAAGTGTTTGGACGTAAGAACACGGAGAACGACAAGTTCAAAGTTTGGCCGGAGCTTTCGGGGCTTTTTCCGGTGAATCCACGCCGAGTTAGGGGTCAAGGAAGGTATGGATGTGTTCATCTCGTCAATACCTTCATTTTGATATAAAGTACGTCGAAAATGGTTAAGAAATGAAGAAGTTATGACACTTTGAAGTTTACCCAGAAATTCCGGCAAAACACCCACCTCCGGCGAAACCAGTCCGCCGACGCGAGGAAGAAGACGCGCGTGTGGGCAGCGCGTATAGGTGGCGTGTGAGGGCGTGTGAGAGACCCAAATCAAGTTCTGAAAATTGTCACGTGTTCGTGACATCGTGTAGATCACCGTGGTATATTCACATACCCAAATTGAGCAACGTATGAGAAAGTTATTGACGTATGTTTGTGTATGTGCGTTTAAATGATGTTTTATAATTATTTTTGTATAGGTGAAAATTATACGGACGAAGAACGTAACCAAAATAGGCGAGGGGTTTACGAACCGGCTACTTATCAGTGAGTGGGCAGTTATTTTTCAGTATATATATACGTATACTTGACGTATTTCCCAGAAAACGTATTTTAAAAGAAATACGAATTAAGCAACTTATCATGTATGCATCATATTTTAGTATGTGCATTATTATAATTATGCATATTGTTGCATGGTGCTGAGGAGGCCCAGGTAAGCTACCTTTAAGTATATACATTTGAAATATGTAAGTATATACATTTGAAATACGATTGATATACATATGAAATACATTTGAAGTACGTAAGTATATACGTTTGAAATATGATTGATATACGTATAATATACATTTGAACTACGTATAATATACATTTGAAATACGCACGAAATACATTTGAAATACGTATAATATACATTTGAAATACATATAATATACGTTTGAAATACGTACGAAATACGTTTGAAATACGTATAATATACATTTGATATACGTTTGAAATACATATGAAATACAGTGGATATACGTATGAAATGTGATTGAGATATGTTTGAAATGTGATTAAGATATAATTGTGATATGATTTGAGATACAATTAAGATATTATGCTTATAACAATCATGAGATAAGATTGGAATATGATGAATTATATGATTCGATTGAGATGTGATTGAAAGCTCATTTACTTGCACACGTATATTAGTGCTCCCGCCCAGAGATAGGGGCACAGTCTTTCACGTGATGTTCACCTCCCGCATCGCATGCTCGCCTTGGATCCAAGTTAGGTGTACAACATGTCGTATAGACCACTTATGTGGGTTCGACTTGTAGGTGACCCGCGATTTATCGCACAGCTTCACGTGATTATAGCACTAGAGCATATTATATTATATACGATGATGAATTGTAGACCACGTGAGGTGGTATTGAATGTGTGCAGGATATACATGTTTATACATGATGTGATGAGATGATTATGAGCTATATATGTAGTTGAGGGCTGAGTTGATTGTGATGAGATGATTATGAATTATGTTTATAGCCGAGCGTTGAATTGATTATATGTTATCCCATCAGATTCACATAGGATGTTAAGCATTCAGTTATGATATTTGGCATGACATACATTCATATTGTTCAGCATGATTTGATATATATTACGTATATGATTATATACTTTATTGCTGGAAAATTATACTTGTTTTACGGCGAGGGGTTAGTACATTCAAAAGAAAAAAAGAAGGTTTTGAATAAGTTTGTTTTGCTGACCCACTCAACTTTGTTTTGCGCCCCTCCAAGTTCTAGGTAGCGTATATCGGTGAATCTCGAGGTGTCCAGCTGAAAGTTCTGACAAACCACCACTCATGTAGGACCAACTTCGAGTGTTGTTAAATATGTACATCTTATGTTTGACTGCACTTAGACCTTGTGCTTTGGTTGTGTATTCACACTTAAACTCAAATTAGAACCTATCGTATTTGGTTTTAATTTATTCGTACTTTCCTTATAAAATATCACTTCCACACAGCGCACATGGCTACGTCACGCTCACGTGACGGCCAGCATGCCTTGACTTCGGTCGGAGTGTGTCATTTACACTAGTGGATACCACAAAATCTTATTTTATACTTAATAGAATTATAATATTAACTCTAAGTGTTTGTTTAATTGACCGTTTTGACACAATATGCATTCTACGAAACTTTTTTCAATGATCCAACCGTCAAAATTATTTGTACACACTCTGAGATTGCATACGTAAAAAATCATAAAAAACAAACATTCAAAGATTAGGCAACGGAATAAAAGTTTTCGACGGTTATAAAAGAAAAATCACAATTTAGCGGTTATTTTAGCTTCGATTTTGATGATTTTTTACAGCTACACTCCTTAACCCTATAAGAATGTAATGAATAAATTTGATCTTTAATTTAAAATATTTACACTAGTGGATACCACAAAATCTGATTTTATACTTAATAGAAGTATAATATTAACTCTAAGTGTTTGTTTAATTGACCGTTTTGACACAATATGCATTCTATGAAACTTTTTTCAATGATCCAACCGTCAAAATTATTTGTACACACTCTGAGATTGCATACGTAAAAAATCATAAAAAACAAACATTCAAAGATTAGGCAACGGAATAAAAGTTTTCGACGGTTATAAAAGAAAAATCACAATTTAGCGGTTATTTTAGCTTTGATTTTGATGATTTTTTACAGCTACACTCCTTAACCCTATAAGAATGTAATGAATAAATTTGATCTTTAATTTAAAATATTTACACTAGTGGATACTACAAAATCTTATTTTATACTTAATAGAAGTATAATATTAACTCTAAGTGTTTGTTTAATCTACAGTTTTGATGCAATATGCATTCTATTAAACTTTTTTCAACAATCCAACCGTCAAACTTATTTTTACACATTCCGAGATTGTATACATAAAAAATCGTAAAAAACAAACATTCAGAGATTAGGTAACGAAACAAAATTTTTCGATGGTTATAAACAAAAAATCACAATTGAACGGTTATTTTAGCTCCAATTTTGATGATTTTTTTACAGCTACACTCCTCGACCTTATAAGAATGCATTGAACGAATTCGATCTTCAATTTAAAATATTTACACTAGTGGATAATTTGTTATACTTAATGGAAGTATAACTCTTAAGTGTTTGTTAAATATATCAATTTGATAGGATATGCATTCTACGAAACTAGTTTCAACGATCCAACCGTCAAATATGTTTGTATGTACTCCGAGATAGCATGTGTACAAAATCGCAAAAAAAAAAAACATTCAGAGATTAGGTAGCAAGACCATGAGTGAAAAAAATATTAAACTATTTGTTTATTTATTTATTTATTTTTAATCAATGTAACATTTTAAAATAATAAAATAGTCAATTTATGTCGATTATAACCGACATCATTAACTTAGAAACTGCCAGAATATGTTAAAAATATTAAAAAAAAAAGAATTAAAAAATATTGAGGGTTATAATAATTTCAGACGATTAAATCCGCTAGGAATTTATATCGAATATATCGGACAGAAAGTAACTTTAATCTGACAATAAATAAATTATGTGTCGAATATCTTTTATCTGTCAAAATAACTTATTAACCGTCAGATCGTCCGACACCTAAAATTAGTATCGTAGTAGTGAAAACGCGTAAGGCCGGGAAAGGGGGCCCATTGGCTTACCGTGTGTTTGCCACTGCCATTCTGTGACCTGTGAGTAGTCAGCTTGCTTTAATAAAAGGTATGAACTGATGGTGATGTTTCCTTCATCTGTCTTTCTTCATGTGTGAACGCGTTGATTTTTTATACGCGGAAGGTAAAGGTGCTTGAGTTGGTTTCATCTCTTTGATGATTTTCTAGGAAAGCCTGAGGACCATAAAATTTTCAAGAACTGAATAAATCTCATCCATCTCAAGTATCCCCTTCTCTTTCTTTGATATATTATCAAGCGCTCGCTTCTTTCTCTTCTTTTTTACTCACAAGTTACAAGTCTACTGTTAGTTCCTTGAGAGAAACACAAACAGATGGAGTGTATAATGACTATCTTGCAGATGTGCTGCAGATCGTTAACATTTTCTTCTCCGTCATCTGCTGCAGCTGCTGCTGCTGATGATAATGATGATGACTGTGTTGAAGCGAATATCCCCCCTCGTCGGGAGAAGTATGATGTGTTTATCAATTTCAGAGGCGAGGACACCCGCGATGGTATTACCAGCCATCTTCATGCTGCCTTACTTCAGAAGAAAATTGAAACCTACATAGATAACAGACTTCAAAAAGGAGAAGAAATCGGACCTGCCCTTCAAGAGGCAATCGAGAAATCCACACTTTCGGTGATCATTTTCTCACAAAACTATGCTTCTTCCACATGGTGTTTGGATGAACTCGTGCATATACTCGAATGCAAGAAAATATATGGTCATATGGTTATACCCGTATTCTACGACATCAATCCATCTGATGTACGAAAGCAACACGGGAGTTATGCGGGTGCATTTGCTCAACTTGAAAAACGTTTCAAGGACAATATTGATAAGGTGCACAAGTGGAGGGATGCTTTGAAGACCGCAGCCGATTTGTCTGGGTTTGATTATTCAAACAAACGCGGGTAAGTAACTCATTTCTCTAACTTGTATAAAATTATAAATTTTCTTTAAACTTGTGACAATTTGATTTGTCCTAAGATTTGGTAAAGCATTACTCTATTTTAAACTTGGGGATTGGTGGCACTGTAGCTTAGCTACAATGCAATTGAGAGGGGAGATTTTGGTTTTAGCAAGACTTCATGGCCACACACTGCTGCAGGTCGAAAAATTTGTCATGTAATTAAAATCAGATCCTAAAGGAGAGTGGAATTTTTTTTGTAATTTAGAGAACAACATCACATCAAAGTAAGTAGCATGTAATATAAATAATGGAACAAAATAGAACATTTTAATAGACGGCGTAATCACAAAATATAATGTCTTCAATTTTTATAAGAAACGGATGTAGCATAGTTCAGTTAGCTTTTTGAACTTATTTACAACTCTATTTACACATATTTCCAACAACTCTATCAGCACATATATGTACAATCATATTTACAATTCTATTTACACATATACTAATCAGCCTTTTCGAACTTCCTTGATCAACACATACAATTTTTTTTTGCCCTGATAGGTCTGCTTCTATGTTCCAAATTGAAAAAATAGAAGTTGTTAGTGTAAATCAATGATATTTTAGTGAAGATGATGGAACAAAAGTGTAATTATTGAGGAGAGATTTTCTTAATTGCTAAAAGTAGTTGAATACTCTCTCAAGTGCGTTTAATAATATACATTAAAAACAAATATATGTTGATGTACAAATTTAAGTGTACCGTGAGGAGAAAAATAAAATTTCTTATGCTCATAAATAATTAAAACTGACATATGTTAAAGCGTACATATAAGAAGAAAGTGGACCTTTTTAATTGTTCATATCACATTTTCCACTAAGCTGACCACAATAAACTTTTCTATCACAATTCTTTGCATGCAAGTATGAATAAAGGTTAACTAATGTGATTATTTTCATCCTATTGTAAATGGAAATATAAACATTCATTTTGCTGAATTGTACACTTGAGAGAAAAATATGCATAAATGTAGAAAAAGATTTATAAGATCTTAAAAAGTGTAGACAATGAGTAGCAATTACCCTTCCCACTTAACTTGTGAACGAAAAGGAGGAAAAAGTAAACCAATGACTGGGTATTCATTTTTTGTGTCACTGTTCTTATTATATTTGAAGCAAGCAACCAAACAGCATATGATTATTCCAATTTCGATCCAACCATCACAATCCCCAACCTGAGGGATTTTAATGAATTTATAAATCCATGGATTTTGATGGAATTTAATTTGTAGAGATGTCATGTAAAATTTTAATTAACTATCTAAAATTCTGATTGAATGCATATTGAATTTTAGAGGATTACTTAAAATCCTAATTGAATATTCATAAATTCATTAAAAGAATTAAAATTAAAATTAAAATTTCAATTGAATACACCCCCTAAATCTCACGATTACCCAAAACACAACGCTAAAAACTTTACTCAGTGAGTCTCCAATCTAATTACAACTCTGGAGTAAGTACTTCCTGAAGAATATGAACTTATAGATATAAATATATCCAATAAAGCAGCATATGTAGTGAAATTTAGGATCATTTGATTGAACAGCCAAAACATTCGATCTTACACAAATGAATACTGCTGCAACCTATAACCCATTCAAAAATTACTATTGGAAAAGCAGCCAAACTAATGAAAAGGAGATAAAAAGGAAAATACTAATATTCACCTCACACGAAACGAGGAGAGAAAAATGAAAATACTAAATACTGAACTAACACAAAAACAAAACGGGAAAACACACAGATTGCAGACCCTTCCCATTTGGCAACTGAAAATGTGTCATGCCAATTATAATAAAAGTATACTTGAAAGACGAAAGTGTAAGCATGCACCAATAATTCGATTTGAACGACGTTGGATTTAGCATTCATCTATAGACGTCGTCTAGGTCAAATTTCTTTCCTAAAATAATCATTTCAAAGTGTATTTCCTCAATGAGGAACAATTACAAAGAGAAAATAATGTCTGCTTTTTATTAAGACGCTTGTAAAATTAGTTATAGAATTAGTTATAGAGTCGTTGTCCAAGATTTTCATGTTTTATATCAACAAACACTAAAATTGGGTTACTTGGTATATCGACGGTGATAGAGATAATACATAAGGTTGGAATGCATAGGATGGTGACACTTGTAATAAGATTAGAGAAGTTAATTATGGTTGTTAGGATGTATAGATGTGAAGATTCTTGTATAAATGCCCTTATGATGTAATAGCTTGGATGCTAAGAAAACAAATAACAAGAATTAGTTTCTCTCTCTTTCTCTCTTCAAGTTTCTCTCGGATTCTCTCTCTTTCTCTCTCTAGATTTTCCGCATTCAAGCTTCTTCTTCTTGGTTAACATGGTATCAATCGCCATTATTGCTGCTGCATTTCTCGATCCTTGACTCAGCTTCCACTCTTCAACTTCATCTTCTCCGATCGTCTTCTGGGAAGCTGTGATCACTTCCGACGAGCTCCGATCAGCCTCTTTTGCAAGATTTTAGGGTTTCACGGAGCTTCTTCTGCAAGATTCTAGGTTTTCAAGAAAGTGTTCGTCGTGCTAGCTTCTCTTCTACTCGCAGTTCTTGGTTTGATCTCTGCAAAAATGGTAACTGCTTCTCAACTTCAGCTTGTTCAGTCACCGATAACTGCTCTAATTTCTACAATTTCTACGCCAGTCAATGTGAAACTTGATGATTCAAATTATCTTAATTCTCATTTTCAAATGCAATTATTGCTGGAAAGTAATGGTATTATAGGATTTGTTGATGGCTCAACCCCTTGTCCTGCACGATTTAGGTCGAATTCTGGTGAATCAGGTGTAAATTCTGGTAATTCATCAACTATCACAGAAACTGATGAATATACTCTGGAAATTGCATGATCGTGCACTTATGTAGCTCATTATTGCCACATTGTCTCCAATTGCTATGTCATGTGCCATTGGTAGCTCTAGTTCCAGGGGATTATGGACTAGACTTAAGGAACAATTCTCCACTGTGTCAAAGACTAGTATCTTTCAGATGAAGTCTAACCTCAAACCATCAAGAAAGGTTCCGATTATGTGACACAGTATTTGCAAAAAATTTAAGAAGCTCGTGACTATTTGTCAACCGCTGGTGTGTTTCTTGATGATGAAGATATTATTATCTTGGCTCTCAATGGCCTACCTCCAGAGTACAATACATTTCGTAATGTTGTGAGAGGTAGAGAAAATGTCATGACAATTAAAGAGTTTCGGTCTCAATTACTTGCTGAAGAAACAATTGTAGACAATCACATTAATGGTTCATTTCTCTCTGCCATGGTTGCTAATACTTCTGCAGCTATGCATAAAGGTTCCAACATACCTCATTAGTCTTTTACCTCTGGTGGTGGTCCATCATATCATCATAATGGGGGTCAGCCATATGTTGTGTCTGGAGGGTTCAAGTCTTTTAACGACAAGAACAAAAGGCAAAAACAAATTTAATACAGCACAACGATATTACAATCTTCGGTTAGTGTATCCTACACAAACTCATGTCTTACCTACACCTACTCCTAGTGTTCTTGGACCATCTCCAAACCAGTTTGCAAGTCCCTCATCACCTCCATTGCAGACGTGCCAATTATGTAATGCTACAGGTCACATTGCCCCTTATTGTTTTAATAAATCTTCTGACAGACAATAATGTCAAATATGTGGTAAATTTAATCATACCACATGGTATTGCTTTTACAATGAAAAGGGACCTCAGTTTGCTTCAAGGGCATGTGCTTCAATGCAGGGCAACTCCTATCATGGCCCTCATGTGATGTCTAATTCTCAGCCATCTTCTTCACATTCACAACTGGGTCTGTAACATCTACTTCTCAGTCACCACAAGTGTGGTTGACAGATTCAGGAGCTACTAATCATATGACAGCTGATCTTAACAACCTGTTTCTAGCTTCACCTTATCCCAATAATGAAGTTGTTCAAACTACTAATGGTGAAGGTTTGAGAGTTTCTCACATTAGCATTTCTATACTTACAACTCCTGTCAATTCTATCAAGTTGAATTCCATTCTTTATGTTCCTAAATTGACACAACTTACTGTCAGTTCATAGGATTTGTTTGGATAACAATTGCTAGCTAATCTTTGATGCATTTTGTTTCTGGATTTAGGACAAGGCCACAGGGAGAATTCTGTACAAAGGGCGTTGCAGTAATGGACTCTATCCCATTCAGTCACTCTCCACTCGTTCTCATATACACCAGTCTTCTCAATCTCCATCTGTTGTTTATCTTGGTCAGCTTGTTGGTTCTAGCTTATGGCATAATAGGTCATGACATCCATCCAATCATATAGTTTCATTACTACTTAAACAAGCTAATATCACATGTAATAAAGACACAACTTCTGCTGTGTCAAAGTTGTCTCGAGGGAAAAACTACAAAGTAACCATTTTCTTCTTCCCATAATAAGTCTGTCATACCCTTTGAAATTGTACACAGTGACCTTTAGGGTCCTGCACCATGTACTTCGATTGATGGCTATAAATACTATGTTACCCTTATTGATGAATGCACTCACTTATGTTGGTTGTTTCCTTTATCTCACAAATCAGACTTTTATGATGTGTTTGTTACATTTTGTGCATTTGTTTCAACTTCTGTGAAAATCTTGTAGAGTGATGGGGGGGGGTGACACTTATAATAAGATTAGAGAAGTTAGTTATGGTTGCTAGGATGTGTAGTTGTGAAGATTCTTGTATAAATACCCTTATGATGTAATAGTTTGGATGCTAAGAAAACAAATAACAAGAGTTAGTTTCTCTCTCTCTCTCTCTCTCTCTCTTCAAGTTTCTCTTGGATTCTCTCTCTTTCTCTCTCTAGAAATATATGGTGTTATAACTTTTAGTGTATTTTTTTATTTACATGAGAATTTTTTCGACCCGCCTTTAAGACTAACTATTGCTTTTTTTTTTCTTTCTCTCTACATAATCATACATATATATGCTAGGACGGAGGCAAATCTAATTAAGAATGTTGTCGATCATATTTGGACAAAATTGAATTGTGAACCATCATGTGATTTAGAGGCCTGGTTGGAATTGAAAGCCGCATCGAGCAAATTGAATCGCGATTGGGCATTCATTCAGAGGACGCTTGCATCACTATAGGTATTTGGGGCATGGATGGTATTGGCAAGACCACCCTTGCTGAAACTGTATTTCACAGACTCTCTTCTAATTTCGAAGGTTCTTGTTTTCTACAAAATGTCAGGGAGAAATCAGAAAAACCAGATGGACTAGATCGTTTGCAAAATCAACTTCTGAGTGAGATATTCAAGGAAGAATGCCTATCCATAGGATCACCTGGTGTTCAAAATAGGCTCATCCGCACAAAGGTCCTCATTGTTCTTGATGATGTGAGTAGCTCAAAGCAAATGCAACGTTTAGCTGGCGATCATCTTCGGTATGGCACTGGAAGTAGAATCATTATCACAAGTAGAGATAGGGGCACACTTAGACAAACTGTTGAAGAGGATAATATCTATGAGGTTGAGCTATTAAAACCAGATGACGCTCTTCAGCTCTTCTGTTTGCATGCTTTCAAGAATAACACTACTCGTAGAACAGATTATAAGGAGTTGGCAAAAAAGACTGGGGGTTATGCCAGAGGCGTTCCTTTAGCTCTTACAATTCTAGGGTCTTTGTTCTTCAATTGCAAGAGCAAAGAAGACTGGGAAGATGAATTCAACAAATTGAAACAATTTCCCAATGAAGATATCCAGAAAGTGTTGAGAATAAGTTATTATAGATTGGAAGAAAATGAGAAGCAGATATTTCTGGATATAGCATGTTTTCATAAAGGGAAGGAAGTGAAGGAGGTAAAACGAATGTTAGCTGTTCGTGGATTCTTTGCGACAGTCGGAATTAGAATTCTCATTGATACGTCTCTCATATCAATTTATTCAGATAAATGGAAAGGGGAAATCATAGAGATGCACGATTCACTACAAGAAATGGGAAGGACAATTGTTCAAGAACAATGTATTAAAGATCCCGGTAAACGAAATAGGGTTTTCATAGATGAGGATGTCTATCGTGTGCTGAAGAGTAACACGGTAAGAGCCAAATGCATTCAATTTTTTTTCTTTTCTTTTTTAGGAAAAAATAAATAACAAACTTTAGATGATAACAAAACAAAGTAAAACTCATTTATAATAAAGAAGTCAGATTCTTAAAAAATTAACTTGATTGAATTTTTATTGCAAAAATGTTATTCTTACTATCTATCTATACTATCATTTGTACCTTCTCTCTTATAGAGATGAAACTCACATGCATTGGCGGGTTCTACCTCTATTTGAAAGATGATACAACTAGGTGGTAAGAATAACACTACTATTTTTATTTTGCTAGGAAGTCTGTAATTTTTAATATATTATTACATCATCACCATCGTAAGTACTCTAGACTATTCTATAACTTTGTTGAATTCTTTTTCCAAATAAGCATTACATCTTAACATCGTTGAAAATATATACATTTAAACTTTGTTCTTATTGTCAGGGAACTCCAATTGTTGAAGCTATATTGCTTAACTGGCATAACAGTGAAGTGCGACCATTGAAACGTGCAGACTTCAAACTGATGTCAAACCTAGTAGCGCTAAGTGTGCATTCTCGAATATTTGACTGCAAATCCACCGCTTCTCTAGACCTTCCTGGTTCTCTTCGTTACCTTTACTGGAATAGATATCCACTGGAATCTTTGCCGTCAAATTTTTCACCGGAAAATCTAGTTGAGCTTCATATGCCATGTAGCGAAGTTAAGAAGCTTTGGAAAGAAGACCAGGTATATTATATGCCTATTTTAATTCTTGTATAAAATTAGGTGTAGAAATTATATTAAATCTTGATATTTCTCTCTACTCTTGTTACAGAGACTTGTGAACTTAGAAGTGATCGATTTGCAGTACTCTACAAATCTCACTGAAGTTCCAAATCTCTCTGGGAGTCTAAAAATTGTGCACATAGATCTCTCTGGTTGTGGAAGTTTGGCTGAAATTCCAGGGTATTTTCAAGATCTTGGCAAGCTTACTCATCTTCATCTTGCACTCTGCACTAGTCTCAAGTATCTTCCAGAGATGCCAGGAAATATTAAATACTTAGATTTATTGGGCAGTGGTATAAAGGAGTTGCCCCAATCAGTTTGGTCTCACGAAAAAATTTCTTACTTGAATATAAGTCATTGCAGATACCTTGAGAAACTTCCAAGCAACAAGTGTAAACTGAAAATCTCTGGTTCTTTTAATCTAGATTGGCACACATCTCTTGGCGAGTTTTCTGAGCTTCCCAGGGATATAAGTAAATTATCATTGGTTGGTTGCAAGAGACTTGTGAGTCTACCAACCAACATTTGGAAATTGAAATATCTTGAGGAACTCAATCTCTCCAACTGCTTTAAACTTGAAAACTTCCCAAAGATTTTGGAGCCAATGGAACATTTGAAGTCCTTAAATTTAAGTGGAACATCAATTAAAGAGCTACACTCATCAATCGAGTTTCTCCCTGCACTCAAAAGAATTCAACTACAAGGTTGCAAAAGGTTTTCAAGTATCCCAAAGAGCATTTGTAAGTTGAAGTATCTTGAGGTACTCGATTTCTCTTTGTGCTCCGAACTTGTAAACTTCCCAGAGATTTTGGAGCCAATGGAACATTTGAAGTCCTTAAATTTAAGTGGAACAACGGTTAAAAAGCTACACTCATCAATCGAGTTTCTCCCTGCGCTCAAAAGAATTCAACTACAAGGTTGCAAAAGGTTTTCAAGTATCCCAAAAAACATTTGTAAGTTGAAGAATCTCGAGGTACTCGATTTCTCTTTGTGCTCCGAACTTGTAAACTTCCCAGAGATTTTGGAGCCAATGGAACATTTGAAGTCCTTAAATTTAAGTGGAACAACGATTAAAGAGCTACACTCATCAATCGAGTTTCTCCCTGCGCTCAAAAGAATTCAACTACAAGGTTGCAAAAGGTTTTCAAGTATCCCAAAAAGCATTTGTAAGTTGAAGAATCTTGAGGTACTCGATTTCTCTTCGTGCGCTGAACTTGAAAACTTCCCAGAGATCTTGGAGCCAATGGAACATTTAAAGTCCTTAAATTTAAGTGGAACATTGGTTAAAGAGCTACACTCATCAATCCAGTTTCTTCCTGCGCTCATAAGAATTTAACTACGAGGTTGCAAAAGGTTTTCAAGTATCCCAAAGAGCATTTGTAAGTTGAAATATCTATGTCATTTAAGAAAATTTGGGAGAAGAAAAAAAGCCTCGTTGTAAGACCTAGAGAGCAGAAGCAATCCTACTGGCTACTGCTGTGGTATCAAAGATCTGTGTGATCATTATGTTTCAAAGATCTTTTCAAAATGAATCTAAAATTCTGGACTAACCTCTACATGCTACAGAAAGGGTCTTTACAAACCTTAAAAAAAAGCACAAAAGACAACTTATAGGTAGACACCATAAATTTACAGGTTCAGGCAGCTCATCTAGCTTCCCATACTTGCAAAATCCATCAATAAGTCACGGGTCTCTTTAACCTGATGTTATTGGTTTAGTTTAAGAAAGAACTAATTTAGCTGGCTAAAATGACTAAAGTAGTGAACCTATAAGTGGCCATGTTTTATCATTTCTTATATTCCTGATAGTTTAGCTGGCTAAAAAAACTAAATAGTAGTGAACGTATAAGTCCTTCGCGAGTTTTCTGAGCTTCCCAGGGATATAGGTAAATTATCATTGGTTAATTGCCATAAACTTGTGAGTAGCAACAAATATTTGTAAGTTGAAATATCTCAGAGGAACTCGATCTCTCCTATTGCTTTAGACTTTAAAACTTCCCAAAGATCTTGGAGCCAATGGAACATTTGAAGTCCTTAAATTTAAGTAAAACAGCGGTTCAAGAGCTACACTCATCAATCCAGTTTCTCCCTACACTCCAAATAATTCAATTACATGATTGCAAAAGGCTTTCAAGTAATCCAAAGAGCATTTGTAAGTTGAAATGTCTCAAGCATCTCGATCTCTCTTCGTGCTCTGAACTTGAAAACTTCCCCGAGATCTTGGAGCCAATGAAAGATTTGAAGTTCGTTTAAGTGGAATAGCGGTTCAAGAGCTACACTCATCAATTGAGTTTCTCCCTGCGCTCCAAATAATTGAATTACATGATTGCAAAAAGTTTTCCAAGTATCCCAAAGAGCATTTGTAAGTTGTAATATCTAAGTCATTAAATAGAAAATTTGGGAGAAGAAAAAAATTGTTGATTTCATTCTAGGTAAAAAAAAAAAAGAAAAAAAAAGTCCCGTTGTAAGACCTAGAGAGCAGAAGCAATCCTACTGGCTGCTGCTGTGGTATCAAAGATCTTTGTGATCAATATGTTACAAAGATCTTTTCAAAATTCTGGACTAACCTTAAAAAAAGCACAAAAGACAACTTATAGGTAGATACCGTAAATTTACAGCTTGAGGCAGAGTAAGATAGCTCATCCACAACAAACCAAAAGGCACTTATGCGGAAAAAAAAAAACTTCTGACTGAAAGAGTTTTCAAGTAACCATTTATCTTATACGTCATAAAGAAAATTCGCTTTACAAGAAATAGAAAGCATCATGATAAGGAACTACCGGACACTGTGGTGACTCCTTAACAGACAAGTCCGCCAAACCATTTAATATAAGATACACAAACAAAAAATCCGTTCAAGTAGTTGTACATGAGTTCCAATATAATCACATTTTCTTAATTCAATCCTTTGAATAGTCAATAATGGCTTGAAGGTCCATGCACAGATGCAACACTCATAAAATCAACATGCAGATTATACAGAAACAAATAGACTTGTTACTGTGCTTCCTTAATTGTGTATGTGCTCGCACAACACAAAATGTCACATTAAATTCAACACTTTTCAAAATTAAAACCATTAACATAGAAGAAGTAGTTCAATGTTTTATCTATTCAATATTTCTTAATTGCAAATTAGATGTTCTCCGTGCACATTTCTTAGTTTGAGGTTTATTTTGTTTGTACCATACTTGACCAATCTTGAAACTATTGAGCACCGGTCAACGTTATACCGTCAAGGATCCAGAAGAGTTTCCCTCAAACTAGGAGGCCAATCATAGCGCGACATGTGTCGACATCAGAAGCCAATTATAGCGTGACACGTGTCAACATCAGAAGCCAATCACAACATGACACGTGTCAATGTCAAAACAAAGCTAGAAACTCTCTTCTATAAAAGAAGATCATTCTCCCACAATATTTCCTAATGTCATTTGTACTAAATCATTCACTAGTACTCACTAAAGGAGAGCTTGAACCTATGTACTTGTGTAAGCCCTTCACAATTAATGAGAACTCCTATACTCTGTGGATGTAGCCAATCTGGGTGAATCACATACATTTTGTGTTTGCTTCCCTGTCTCTATCCATTTACATACTTATCCACACTAGTGACCGGAGCAATCTAGTGAAGGTCACAAACATAACACTTTCTGTTGTACCAAAGTCCCCACTGATTTTGTGCATCAACATTTGACACCGTCTGTGGGAACGACACTTATTCCCACTCTCTTCAGCTTTGTTAAACTGGTTTCCACCATTCATACACTCTCTTTTGACCAGGCATCCTTCTCCAACATGGGGAGCGAAGGAAGCCATAGCACGTAGAATGACACCACTCTTGCACTTGGTGCAAGGCAATGAAAGAAGGAAGGAGATAGGGTTGCTCTTCAAGCCAAAGTCGATGAGTTAGAAGCTCAGAACAACAAGATAGCAATGAAGAATGAGGTCTTCCAGGAGCAGTATGAGAAGCTCTTTGAGACGCTTCACGAAACTAGGCGTACTCAAACACATGAGCTCCTTACCCCTATGGACATCAACCATCATCTGGGTGCCCCCCAACACGGAGGGTCACCTTCCTTCGACATGGGTATCCCTGATGAGGAGCGAGTTAATCATCAAAACATTGATCAACATGAGACTTCTCTCAACCCAGCTACTTCGACCTGAAGCAGGAGAAGTGGAGGAAGACACCTCCTTATAGAATGAGTGGAAGGATCGAAAGCCATCTTTCGCGATTATTGAGATTTCCTAAAGCAACGTCGAGACAATCCCATCCATGTAAGCTCGAAGATCAATGACCCAAAGGTCTCTAGAAGACTCGGTCCCCTCCCATGTCCCAGGCTGGCTATTTGGGGAAGGGGCAACAAGTCCTAGAGAAACACAAAGGTATAGGGGACTCAGAGATGTTCCGACAGACATACCTTGGAAGTCAATATGGCGAGTCCAGGGAAAAATCACATGCTCTTGATCAAACCTTCATACTTCTAAGAGGAGATGGAGATTTATGAAAGAAAGCTCCAGTGGTACATGACTCCACTCAGGACCCTCTTGTCCTATAGCTCTTTAAAGAAGTAAACAAGTTGAAGGCCGAACGACAAGCTGAGATACATGATTGGAACCAACCTAGGCCTGGCCCTTTTACAAGGAGGATCCTCGACACCCCCTCAAAGCAAAGACAAAGCAGAAGCTTGGCTTGGAACTTTATACTGGAAAGGAGGACTCGATTGAACACCTTACCCTCTTTGAGTCCACCATGGCATACTGGATACACACAGACGAAAAGCGATGTCTTCTCTTCCCCTCCACCCTCTCTGGCGGAACTCTAAACTGGTATTGCCGTCTTTCACTTGAGACGGTAGACTTATTTGAGGAATTGAGGAAATTGTTTGTTTCTCAATACATTTTCCAGATCGATCGCTTGCACTCTACGGATGACTTGCACATTATTCGCCAGAAGCCAGACGAGTCATTATGTATGTATGCTGGCCGCTTCAGCCATGAGTATTCCCGTTGTGCCGAGGCAGATGATAAGACTGCCCTCAAAGCCTTCACGGCAGGCCTACGTGATTGTTTCTTCAAGTACACGATCAATGCCAACACTTGGAAGACTTACTCTGAGGTGATGGCACATGCTTACAACCATGCCTCCGCTGAGGCAAGGACATATCAAGGGAAACCCTCCACAGCCACCCCTTATCAGCAAGTAGGGAGTGGAAGCCATATCCAACCAAATGAGAAGAACTCAACCTTCCAATCTGCAGCGGTGCTTCCCCCTGCCTTACTTAATACTTCACCAAGTCAACAGACATATCAATCTCAGGGCAAAAGGAAAGATTTTCATCCTCACCAGTCTCATTTTAGTAAAGGAGTAAGAGACACTATTGCGATAACCAAGGGTATCGCCATGATAATGCCTGCTCCTAGGCAGTCAACACAGTGGGCCAAACACGTGTCAGGATAGGCTCTACCCCGAGGTATGAGACATACACACCTTTGAACGGCACATGCGTGGTCAGTTACCCCAGCATAGCACACCTGATACTGAAGCCAATGCCGAGGCAGTCGGGTTACAAGCCCACGAAGAACACGGGCACATTTTGCTGCTACCACGAGCATAACAGCCATGACGGCGAGAAGTGTATCACTCTTCGTGATTATATTGAAGCTTTGGCGCGTGAAGGAAAAATTGATCGATTCCTCCTTCACTATTCAAGGGGTAACCGTAACTAACACCAAATGTATGTGATATATTCTATAAGCGGCTGCACACCCATATCCGAATCTTCCAATAGGGCCATGAAAAATAGCGAACGAGCTTTAAGGCCTGGCCACCAAGTGTTTCACGTGGAAGATATCAGGGAAGGCAAGTATCAAAAGTCTAACTGGGATCCAATATGTTTCTACCCTGAGGAAGAAAGAGGTATCATCTACCCTCACAACGACCCACTGATTGTGGAGGCTCACATAGCCAACTTTGAAGTAAGACGAATCCTAGTAGACATGGGGGTTTCGGTCAATATCATGTTTGCTGAAGCTTTCAGGGCACTTAATGTAGCTGAACACTTGCTCGATCGCTCGATTTCTCCTCTGATAAGCTTCTCCGGTGATATCGTGCAACTTATAGGGAGCATACACTTACCTTTCACCATTGGTACATGCCCTTACACAGCTACCATTACCACTAACTTCCTGGTAGTTGATTGCCCAACGATATACAATGTCATCTTTGGATGCTCATGCATCAATGATCTCAAGGCCATGGTATCCACACATATGTTATTGATGAAATTTCCAACCTCCTATGGCAATGGTTACATCAGAGGAGATCAATTTAGTGCACGGTCATGTTACAACACTTCGGTCAAGCAACAACACCTGCCTGTGCCCAAGGAAACCTTTTCTATACATGACCAAGTCATAAAGACGAGCCCAGACGAAGCCAACTTGGATCTTCACGGTGGCAACAGTCAACCCGACGATCCTCGAGATGACTCTTTCACCCAACAAACACAACCCGTTGAAGAGTTAGAGAAGGTTTCTATATCAAAAGATTATCCAGATCGCATGGTGAAGATTGACACCACTTTGTCACCACCCATTCGGTTGGCATTGATCTCTTTTTTGCAAGAGAACATTGAGGTCTTCGCCTGGTCATATGAGGACATGCCAGACATCTCTCCCGATATCATATGTCATCGCTTGAGTATTGACCCCAAGACCAAGCCGGTGAGACAGAAGCAAAGATCTTATAACGCTGAATGATACGAAGCAATGAAGGCAGAAGTTGAAAAGCTCAAAGGCATAGGTTTCATCCGCGAAGTTAATTACCCAACATGGGTAACAAATGTGGTTATTGTTAAGAAAAATTCGACCAAAGAAAGTCTCTTGCTCCAAAAGGTCTTGTGGATAATGTGTGTCGACTACACTGACATAAACAAAGGATGCCCGAATGATAGCTTTCCTTTTCCTCTCATTGACAGACTTATAGACTCTACGGCAGGGTGTGAACTGCTGAGCTTTATGGATGTTTACTCAAGATACAACCAAATCCTCATAAACCCTCCGGACCAAGAACACACAACCTTCACTACTGACAGGGAACTATATTGCTATACAGTCATGCCCTTTGGCCTAAAGAATGCAGGAACGATTTATCAGAGACTAGTCAATTCAATGTTCGCCGAACAGATTGGGAAGAGCATGGAAGTTTACGTTGATGATATGCTAGTCAAGAGCAAACATGCTGACCAACACATCGCTAACCTATCTGAAACTTTCACCATTCTGAAGTGGTATCGAATGAGGTTGAACCCTAAAAAATGTACCTTCGGCGTAGGCTTTGGCAAATTCTTAGGCTTCATGATAAGCCAACGAGGCATTGAGGCAAATCCTAAGAAAATCAAAA